CTTGTGCTTCCCGTTCAGTTACGTATTGCTAAAATATGTTTAGAGTATTTGATTCGGAATGGGTATAACTGATACAAAATAATGAACATTATTGGAGTTAAAAGAGTTTCACATTGGAACATTTTGCTAATGGGTATTTAATCTGCATGTATCGTACGGTTCGTTATTGGCACGATATTTGGAAATTTGAATTAGGTCCACGTAGTGATGGATTAATTGAGGTAAATATCCAATTATAGCAATAAAGAATAGTATACTTACATAATATTAGATACAGATAATACAAATGAGTAAGGCTATACATATTAATGTAGCTTTATTATTTAATTTTACATAGAAACTATACTATTCATTATTGTCACAACATTACAATATGAACTAATTATTAAACTAACTTGCATAAACTTAACCTAACTTTAAGTTAATGGCAATTAAAATTATGTAAAATTGTTAAAGGTTAAATGGTAAAATAACAAAATAAGTAATAATCAATATCTAATTAGAAAAATATCAAATTTGAAAACATTGATAATTTTATCATGTTATCACAAATGTAATAGGACCAATGAGAGCTCTCTATTTCCTATGGGTCTCTAGCAATGTATGGTTTGCTTATATGCGGCCGGCGATTAGAATTAATTTTATTGTAGACGAAAATAATACCTTACCGCGCTCTATCGGAAATAATTTTCGCGCAGCGTATTTTGTATTGCAGTGAGCAATCTATAGTATTTATAATCAATGCTACTACTCATAAAATATTTTTCAAATTTAAAAAATGATTTGATGTCACACATTTAATTTTATATTGCTTTATTGATGATGACAAAATATATTATATTATTATTTATTATATTCAATAAGTATATACATTTGTGTTTATTTATGTTACACATTATAACTTATTATATTATATATACTTAATTAAAAATAAAAACCAATTATAGTTATTGCTAACAGTCTGCACCAGTGTTTCCCAACCTTTTTACTATGGCAACCCACAAAATTACTCTTGTTCGGGTAGGCGACCCACTCTTTACACATAAAAAAAAAAAAAAAATCATGTTTGCTTTGATAAAGTAACAAATTTTATAAGGTATACTTATTAATTATTAACATATTTTATAGGTAATTATACCATTTTATTTAAATAAATACTGAATAACTGAATACAATACACACATGGCAAATAAAATACTAAATATGCTGTTAAATACAAATATTAATAAATATAATAATAAAATGTATTTAATTGCTAATTATAGACTTAATGTGATGGCTGATTTTGAATGTTCTTGCATAAGACTTCCCACTAGGGTAAAATGTAAGATAAACTGATACACATGTCATGGGTCACATCTAATCTGTTTCGTGTTTTTGTTTTTATGTTAGCCATAATTGAGAATCCCTTTTCACATAAATAGGTAGTAGGAAAAAGTAATAGTTTTTTTATTGCATTTAATGAGAGTTCTGGGTATTCTTTATATACTCACACCAAAAATCAACAATATTTTCATTTCTCAATTTAATTTCATATGTTTTATCACATGAAAGTTCTATAATTTGATTTTCAAGAACTGCATTGAAATTTAAATTTTCAATAGAGATAGTGAAAGGATTTTCAATCCATTTAAAATCATCACGAATATCTTTTGGGAAGTAACTATTTAATGCTATGGATAATTGATTTAAATGCGATGAAATTGTTTTTTAAATATCAATAACATTTACTGAGTCATATTCTTCTAGGAACTCGCTAAGTATTAAAAACATATCAATATTCACTTTATCTACTTTAGCTTTGTAAATAATAATTTTTTTTTTGAATGGAGCAATTTTTTTTGAATGATCAAAGATGTTGAACATTTTACCTTGCATTGATAAATTTAAATCATTAAGCATGGTAAAAATATCCACTAAATATGCTAACATCATTAACCATTTGCTGTCACAAAAATAGTTTTTCAAATCAGAATTTTTATTGTTAAGAAATTCTAACACTTCAAGACGAAGTTGAAAAAGTCTTGAGAGACATTTTCCACGAGAAAGCCACCGGATTTATGAGTGGTGTAAAAGTGATTTAACGTTTTGTTCATTATCTTCGCAAAGTTTGTAGAATAATCTGCTATTTAATGCTCCAGATTTAATAAACTTAATAATTTTTATAGCTTCATCAAGAACTTTATTTAATTCAGTAGACATTTGTTTTGATACAAGCGCCTCTCAATGAAGCATACAATGCGTCCATTCGGCATCCGTGACTACTTCTTTAATACGTCGTACCACACCAACATGCTTACCCGTCATTGATGCTGCGCCATCAGTAGTTATGTCAACACAATTTATCCACTGAATATTATTTTTTAAAAAGAATTTTTCTAATGAATTATAAATATCTGCACCAGTAGTAGTTTTGCTTAAACTATCGCAGTATAAGAATATTCCCGTCAAAATAATATCTGATAAATACAGATAATATAGCTTTATTTTGAACGTCTGTACTTTCATCCAACTGAATAGAATAAAAAAAGTATAGGTTTTGCGTTTAATCTGTTTAATAATTGTTGTTTTAAGTTTTCGTTTATATCTAAAATACGTCTCTGAACAGTATTATTTGAAGCTGGTATTATTTTTAGTTTGTTTGCTGCTTCTTTTCCTAATATTTCTGTACACATATCTATTGCAGCAGGCAGAATAAGATTCTCGCCAATAGTGTGTGGTTTATTATTTTTAGCGATTCTATATGCTAATAAATATGAGGCCTTTACACCAGAAAATGTAGTATGACAATAAGTTTTGATTGCATTTGTATTATTTACGAATTGGTCATTTAAACGTTCAAAATATTCTTTAGGTTTTTTATTTACATTTGGATGTTTAGTTTTGAGATGCCGTTTTAATTTGAAGGGTTTTAAACTTTCGTTAGCTAAAATTTCTCCACATACGACACATTGCGGCTGAACTATTTCATTAGATTCACAACTTCGAAAACCAAATTGAATAAAGTCTGTATTATAACTACGATTACCCGATGGTGTTAATTTTACTTTAGGTTTTGCCGAACTGACTGACTGAACTGGTTGTACATTTGTGTTTTGATTTGTATCATCGGCTGTGGTTTTACGAATAATAAATTTATCCATCACAAATTTTGAACTTGAATCATAAAATTAAATTATTTATAAAATATTAATTAAGCGTCGAATCATGAAGTAAAACGTTTCGCTATAACCGACTCACTACTCACCTATACGTACACTGCTTAGATGCATTGTTGTCGCATGGTTAATCGACAAAAGATTATCGTAACGATATACTATTCACAGTCATTAGCGTATTTACCGATAACATATGAGAAAAAATTTACCATTCTCGAAATCTACAAATAATTATTATTATCATACCTACACGTTTATGTTTTAAATTTATAAACTTTAAAATGTTATATAAATTGTTGGTTAAAATAAGTTTTATATTTTTAGTAATTTTTATTTAATAATTAAGATATATTCCTTGTGATTGATTTACTGACAGTGACCCATCAAACATTTTTCGCGACCCATAGGTTGGGAAACACTGGTCTGCACAATTCAAATGTACATTAATATGTGATATGCAACTTATATTATAGGCTGAGAACATTTTATTGATGACAATACAGTTGTTTTGTCATCACAGAAAATGCATAATATTTATTTTCGAAATCTATAAAATATCAAAAAAAAAAAAAAATATTATGTACAGTTTTTTGATCTTCAACTCGCTAACGTTTGACATGTATTTTCATTAATACGTTTAAAATCTTCCCTTTGCGCTCACATCGTCCGCGATCCGACACAGTCGGATTGCCTACCTGGGAGGTTTAAACTAGTGATGGGCATTATTAAATAATAACTATCGAATTATTCGATAGTCTTGCTAAATTAGTTATCTGAATAATCGATATCGATTATTCGATTTATTATTCGAATGAATAATTATTTATTATTCGAATGAATAATCATTTATTATTCAATTATTATTTATTTTATTATTTTAAATATTTATTGAATCACCTTTATCACTACACTATATTATTATCAAAACAAAAACCCTCCGTCTAACTCCGTGTAAAAATTAGCCAAATAAAAAAAAGAAGAAAAAAAATAAATAAAAAAAAAAAATCATTGTATAACCAAAACATTTTTCGCTTCATGTAGCATTTATAAAAAAAAAAATTTATATATTATTTATTTATTATTGAATAACTATTGTTAATCAGTAACTATTTTGTTATCACTTTATCAGTTTATTATTATTATTCTATCGATTCTAATATTCGAATAAGAATTATTGAATATTTACTATTTGAATATTATTTATTTATTATTAAATATAAAATAATATTTAACAAGTAATTTTTGGTTGTCAGTTTCTCAGTTTGTCACTTGCCACTTGTTATTTTCAATTTTGTTTGTTTACTATTAGGTACTATTTACTATATTAGTACAATAATAATAGTAATTATGTCGTGGCTTAAAAAAAATAGTTCTATGGTGTGGAAATATTTTAAGAAGGATACAAATAACCAAAATGAAGCGCAGTGCTTAATTTGTAAAAGTACTTACAAAAGGTCAAATGGAACATCGAATTTGATGGAACATTTAAAAAGAAAACATATGGGCATTTTAGACCGTGATAATATGCTTCTACAAAGCCAGGAACAGGGGAGCATTGACGAGCCAGGTTAATTATATGCAATTTAATTTATAGAAATAAATAACTATACTATTATATTAGCGTAGGACATTTCTTACTAAATTAATTTGTATATTTTACAGGAACGTCTATAGGATCCCAACATTCCCAACCACAAAGTACTTCGTCCAACCTACCTGTCAGTTATTTTAGTACCAACAACAATTGTAATGAGCCTACAATGGCAACAACTGAATCTGAGCCACCTTTAAAGAAACAAAAACAACTTGTATTGTCAAATAGGTAAAACTCAATTAATGTTACTACATTTTATTATGACTAATGGTATAAATGTGTATTTTATTAGTATAAATATTAAATGAGTTTATTTTTTAGTTTACAGCGTGGACTTTTCCAACTGGTTTGGATATATCAACCTCTGGAAGGTTTCAGAAACATGAGTTATGTTGTTTAGTTAAATACAACTTTAGGTTAAGTATACAAATAGGGTAAAAGTATATTACAACAAAAAATATCATATTTTAAATATTTTTATTTTGAAAAAATTATTAGCACCTAATGGCCAAATCAAATAACTGATATTTTAGTTATCAGAAAAAATATTAATTCAACTGGTTTGAATGATAGTTATTACTAGAACAAGGATTTTCGTGCACTTAAAAATCATCATATTATATGCATTTAAAAATATGCAGTTAAATATTATGTCCTCAAAAAAATGTATAGCTCTAAAAATTATATATTTTCATTAACTATTTAAATTTAATAATTTTATATCATCTCTCTATAAGTTTTACCAAAATTTGATATTATTTTATAAAAATCATATTATTATATTCATATTAATATCAACGTTTTAAACTTTTTTTTTTTTTTATAGCAATAGAATAATTTTTAAATATACAGTTAAGATAAGGTTGAGAACTACTGATCTAGTTATTACTTATAAAACATAAGCAATAGTATTTTCTACTTTCCATACTTATAACTAGATAATTTTTATTTATAATAATATGTTATAATTACATGTTTACATCTGAACTATTTATTACTTAATAAGTGTTGTTCTAGATTTGGAGCACCATCAGAATTGCAAATTAAAGCATTTTATGAAGCGATTGTTAGGATGATAGCTGAGGACTTGCAACCCTTATCCATTGTGGAAAACGAAGGCTTTAGAAATATGGTTAAACTATTGGACTCTAGGTAAATATAAATGAATAAAATATTTTGTATTTCAATTGTAATACAATTAAAGAAACCTTTCATAAGTAAAACATTAAATAGTTAGTAAAAACCATGAAGTAGATATGTACATACATTTTTTTTATTTAACTTATTTACTAAACATTATACATAATATACATAAACAGTCAAAAAATACAAAAAATAATTTTAATAAATAAAACAACAAAACAAATATAAAAAGATTACAACTAATTTCAGGTATCAAATTCCTAGCAGAAGGGCACTTGGTCGAACTATAATACCTAGTATATATTCAAATGTTCGAAATAAGGTTCAGACTCTTTTAAATGATACCAGTTTTATAGCTCTTACTACTGATATTTGGACTTCAATTAACACCGATTCGTTTTTAACTATAACAGCTCATTTTTTTCCAAAAGGCCAAAGCCAACTGAAAATAGTTGTCCTTTGTACAAAAAAACTAGATCAGAGTCATACAGCAACTCATTTGGAAGAAATAATGACCAGTGAGTTAAATAGATGGGGAATATTAAATAAAGTAACGGCC